TGGGGCTGCAGCAGCAGCTCCCGTGCCGGATTTTGCTCCCCCTAAAGCAGCAGGGACGGGATGGCCACCCCTCGGTAGTGGGACACAGACCTGCCGCCGTCCGCCGGCACCGCTGGGCTATCTGCTCATCCCCGTGTCATTTCATAACACCGCAGGCTGGCCTCGCCTGACCCGATTAGCACATTATTAATTCAAGGTTTGCTGCTGCAAATAGAAACCATTGAAAGCGCAGAGTGGATTTGCCTTACGGCCGGAGAGAAGCGCTCCCCACTACCACCCTTCCTCGGCCGCTGCACGGCATCCCCCTCCCGTCGCGGCGGTGGCTGCAGGATGCTGCCCCCGGGCTGGCCCTAGGGACAGGCACAGACCCCAAGGACAGCCCAGAGCAGCCTACAAACTACTCCAGCAAGGCCCCACTCATCTTCCTCACCTCCAGCATCCCTCGAGCCCTTGCTTGTTCAGCCAGACCCTTTGCTTTGAGCATGCAGTTGGTTCTGGCTCAGCCCCCGGAGCTGAGCACCGAAGTTGGGATGTCTCTGCTCACCGCTGTGCCTCCACCCCAGAGCTGCCAGCACCCTGGATCAGCTCAACGACCTTCATCACCTGGGTACCAACCCCTCCCAAACACAGCCCACCTGTGCCTCTGGTTCCAGGAGCCACTGGGAGCCACTGGGAGCCACTGGGAGCCCCCACCAGCACCACTGCCCAGGGCTTTAGCTGTCAGCACACGTTGCCCAGGGCTGGGACTTGTGATCTCTTTAGTTGCACACAGGAGAGCTGCTTAGTTTGCAGATTAGCGGGCGCTATTTCTGCCAAGGTCAGGGGGACACGTGAACTGTGACCTTCCCGCTGGCGGGTGGAAGAGGAGGAGGAGGAGGCAGCCCCACCTGGACGCCCGCTGCCCAGCCCGGGGGGGGGACGGTGGAGCGGCTGCCTCCAGCACCATGCCTAGGGCATCTAATCCTGAGCTCTCTGTTTGCAGCTCTTCATTAGGCTCTTAATAAGGCCCCTGAGACCGGTCCCATTCCCAAGAGCCGTGGCCGTAGGGTCTGCGGAGCGTGGCGAGGGTGAAGAGCAGATTTCATTATGGGCAACTTTGCCTCGGTTTTATCCCGACTGGGTGGATTCAGCCAGAGAGACCTTGGCCAAGTAGGGGGGCAGATATTTCCACCCCCAAAACGGTGGTGAGACGGACAGACCACATCCCTTCCCGCACTCGCACCGTGCTCTGAATCGAGCACCGGGGAAGGAAGCTGGGGGATGCAGCGCTGTGTTAAAAATAATAGGGAAATGAGAGAGGGCTTCTTCCTTTTTCCTGTTTAATAAATGGCCAAAAGCTCCTTTCCTCTCCCGCATCCCACCCGTACCTCCAGGTCCACCAAAGGGCCCCTGCCAGCGGGGCAGCACATGCTGGACAAACGCTGGCGGAATTGGGGCTGGACGGGGGTG